CTATTCTCTAAGGGTCTAGAGACCATTTTACAGCTTCAGTCATTCTCACATGCTGCAATTATTGCCTTAGTAAATATATCAACAGGGAAACAAAAACTGCTTTAAAGCTAAGGAAATTCCTCAAACACCAACAAATGGATGAGCTGCTGTGAGCACTGGTGGAATAAATCCTAGGCTCCTGAGGGCTCAGATGATTCAGGCTTTGCATTCTCATGGTTTGTGATTCCACCAGATTTCCTTGATGCAATTATTTTCTTGCGACTCTGCAGTCCACAAATTCTAAATATAGCCTTGCACATAAAATAATACCCTCATTCCTGAAACAGTCTATTGCTTAAAATTCTGCCAAACAGATGCTTTTTATATTACATTAGTCATGAGCTGTGGCTGACAACAAGTTCCTTTTTGTATACCCCTCCCAGAAATCTTGTGGAAAAGTCCTTTCTTTTTTTTTTTTTTTTTTAAATAATTCCAGGCTAGCTGAGCATATCAGGCAGGAAAACGCTAACATTTTCCAGAAGTAACTGATGTCTCATGCTCCCTTTAACAGTAGTTGCTGGTCCTTTAACAGATGTGTGGGAGAGACGCAAGTGACTGAGCCGGAAGGGTGTCGTTTCTCAACATCTATAAAGACACGAGGCCAGGCTTTGAAAATAGCTTTTATAGTCCAGGAAGGATGAGTAGGTGAACTTAGAGACCTTCTATGCTAATTAGTGACAAGGTGCCCTGCTGAATCTGAGGTTCGGACCCCCACCATCTCATCATTTATGTTTTCGCAGCTCAGGTGCTGAGTGAGATGAAGGTTGTAAAACAATCACAAGACCAAAAGAGTTTTTCAGGGCTCCTCCACCCAGAAGTGGAAGAGACATTCTGTGCTGAGAGGTGGAAGAGCAGGCCCTCTCCCATGATCAGTGCTGTGGGTGTCTGTTTAGATCAAGCCAGAGAAGCCTTCCTCTTCATCACCTGGCTTCACCCATTCCTGCTCATCGGAACAAGTCAGGAGCCAGAACTTCATCTCTCTCTTCACTGGCCAAAGGAAACAGGCTTAGATGATGAATAGAATAGAATAGAATAGAATAGAATAGAATAGAATAGAATAATTTCAGTTGGAAGGGACCTACAATGATCCTCTAGCCCAACTTCCTTCCTTCCATGGGGAAAAGCAAGCCCCTGGCCCTTTCCCATTCCCTGAAAGGGACAACAGCTGCAGCCCTTAGGATGCCATTTCTCATAAGCTTGTGCACTATATGGATACCAGGACCTCTTTGTCTCCCTACCCTTTAGATCTGACCCAATGCCTTGCATCATCTCAAAACCAAAGTAGTGGGATTTGGAGTCAATCAGAGAGTGGCAGTGTGCAATAGGGTGTCCACTGCAAAGCAGGCTGAGATTTGGTCTTTGTTCAAGCACAGTTAGGAGGAGAAGAAGGTGCAGGGTGTGGTACCACAGCAACTTTCCTAGAGGCAAAGCCAGTTGAAGTTCACATCCTTCCAACCTCCAGCTACTTGTTCCTCTCTGCAGTGAGGCAGCTGGCCACCCTGCTCCACTGTGCCAACTCGTGTCTGAGTCAGGGATCTGTGTTTAAAAACAGCCCTTGTGAACAAACACAAGCTTTCTTATGAACCTTGGTCATTTCACTGATTTTAAGCACAGAGGAGGTGCTCATCAACAGGAGTTTGAGTGAGGACAGGAAAGAGGATGGAGTAGAACCTCTCCTGTCTGGTTTTCCACCAAAGAAACCATACCTGCTTACCACCAAGACTGAGTCACACGTAACCTGCCTTTTCTCAGGAAATACACAGGAATCACCAAATCTCAACCCTGCTCCTCTAGCTTGTACCTGAGCTGCCTGCCAGGGTGGTGTGGGTGGTCAAATGAGTGCTCAAAGCGAGCTCTCGCACCCTTCTGTTGGCTGGCTGGGAGGGATGCAGCCCTTGTGTGAGATGATGTTCTGCAGAGGTGATGGATAGCTGGTGGGATGTGTAACCAAGAACGTGGGGCTAGAGTTGCCGTCACTATGGTTGCTCTTCAGGGACCCAAGAAGTGTATTCCTCATCCTTGAACTCAAAAGTGTGTCTATTTTAACCCCGCTCTCCATGGCAACAGAGACGAAGCAATGCCGTCTGCTTCACGTACCCCCTTGTTCTTCTTGCGAAGGGTTTGCTCAGATCCAACCACCTGAACTAGTTGCTCATAGCTAAGCCAAGCCTTTCCCACCCTCTCCATCTCCTGGATGAAATTCTTTCAGGAACAACTTGTTCCTTTTTGGCCTCAGTATTAGGAATATTAAATTAAACTTGGATACAGCTCTCGAAACCTTCCCCCAAGATGCCTTTTAATTAAAGAAGTGGAAAGAAAAGAGCAGTCTAAATGTTGTAACATTTTTAATTAGTGAAACCTTTATTTTATTTGGTAAAAAACAAGATTACCTCTAAGTCCATTAAAATGAGTCCTTCGTTGAAAGGCTTTGTAGTGTGTTTGAAAGGGAGATTTAAAGGATATTAATATGGGCTTAAACATCTTACACATGCTAAAAAAATTGATATTTTTTAGTGGAAGAACTTAAATAACCTTTTATTCCCACCACACTGAGTGTGTACACTTGTGAGCTGATGTCTTTGAAGTTCACTTGAACAAACTGCCTTCATCCAAACCCACCTGTTCATCCATCCCTACTGTCATGGAGAACTGTTGCCCTTTTACGTAATTCCTGAATAAAAATGTGTTTCTGAGACAGGAAATACGTTCTCAATTCATAAACACTTCAGCTGCAAGCCCTTGCAAGTCACATGAGTTATGTATTGCAATGGAGGACTCTGTCTCCTGAGGGATTTTTAGGAAAGGGATTTAATTATTTCTATAAAAATTACTTAACATTTTCAGAATCAGTTACATTTTACAGCTATCAGAGATAAGGAAATATCCAGGTCAATTCCAAGAAGCCCAAGAATATGGCAAATGTTGTTCCTTCTGGGACAAACCCTTGAGAGTTTTCTGCTAATGGGACTCAGAGGTCCTGACTTAGCACAGCACAGCCTACTCATCTGTTTTCTTCTTTGGGAATCCATCACAGGTTTAAATGAATGATGTTCACAGGCTCTTCATAATATTCTGGCTGAGGAACCCACTCAGAGAAGGCAGAGCTCATGTTCATGTAGATGTAGCAAAGCTAAAGGAAAGGATGCTGCTGGAAGAACTGAGACTTTTGACATCGTAAAAATTCACCTGTCCTTGATCAAAACATTTGGCCTGATTTTAGGACTCTTGACCACTTAACTCCATTGCCTGTCTTCTCTCAGAGGCCACATCCATGGTCATCATCCACAGGAGCTTTTTTCAGCTTCAGATCATGCGCAAGCTAAAGCACTTCCCTGCTTTCCAGGCCCAGCAATACAAACTAAACCAAGCCAGGGATAACCTATCCAACCAAAAGCTCCACTGGATGAAGGGAACAGCAGTGGAGGGGTCCTGGGGCGTATCTCTCAGCATGATACAGCTCTTTCCCTGCAGCCCTCAAGCAAAAAAATAACCCTTCCCTCCACCCTTCAAAAGACCTATTCCTTGTGACAGTAAAAAAGCACTGATTACTATTAAAAACCCAAACCCTGCAGGAAAGCAGGGAGGGGGAGTTTATGGCCATTGACCTTTTAACTCAGGTAGGTTTATAAAGAGCTGCCTTTCTGTTGCACCACTGGGATTGTACAAGTTTCTTGGCCATGAATGGGAGCTTTGTAGGATTCTACTGTGTGGTCATTCACAGGCAATCTGTTGGTTTTTTTAGAGACGTTTAATAAAGAAAGAAAACCTATCTGAAATACAGGAGGAGGGGGTAAGCTGAGTATCAGCTAGCGGCCCAATCAATGAGTGGATGTGTTTGGGTCTCCTCCCGGAAGAGAAAGCTTGTTTTAGGAATTTAGCCTGGCACTCACAGGGTTCTGTTTGTATAGCCCTTTCATTTTAAAAAATACATGCAGGTAATTAAGAAGAGATGGCTTGGAGCAGGCATGGGGAGAAGAGACAGGGAGGAAAGGAGAAAGGGAACCAAGGGTAAAAAAAAGGAGCGGCTGCTAGAATTGAGAAGAGAGCAACAGTAAGGATGAAGCCAATAGCAATGGTATTTTCTCATTCTGTTGTCACCACACGATTCTCTGACTGATGGGAAGTTGATCACTGGGATGGAGCAGTATCCCCTGAGGTTAGGAGAACCCTGGTCCATGTGTGGTGGCACTTGATTCTCAGATGGCTCTGCTAGATGTTTCCTCTCATCTGTTCATTTGCTATGGGCCATGAGCAGTCATGGAAAACCAGTGCTGGTCCCCCCATGACAGTGTGCCAAGGTAAAACCAGCTTAGACTGACAATCCAGGCACCAAAACTCCTTCAACCAACATGCTTCATCAGGAATGGCACAATTTGGAATAAAAATTTGGTGGGGGGTGGGTTGCTGATTGTTTAAGAACAAAGTACAGTGCAGTACTGGGCAGGACTGGGATGGCTGGACTCCATCACTCTGTAGATAGAGGGAATGAATACCTTTCAAGCTTGCAGATGGATCCATAAGGCATTTCCGGAGAACCCAAGTATGTCCTGGTTGAAACTGATTTGTGAGATGTTTGTCCACAAGGTAAGAACTTTCTTGGTCTTCTAGAGAGTGTGGAGGTCACCTTCACCTGCTGCTCCCACTGGAAGCCAGGCTTTTTCCCACCCATCCAAGGACTGGGCTGCCCACCGTGCCAGCAGACAGGACAGTCCAAGGAACATCTGCCAGGATGGACATATGTTGTCAATCTCTTTTGCAAATTCTGTAAGAAGCTGTCAGCATAAGCCAGCTCTGATGGAAAGACCAGCCACACCACAACAGGCTGCCTTTGGGCTGACAAGGAAGATGGGGTCTCTGGTAGCCTGCGGTCACCAAATTGTTCCCCTGGCACCTGATGGAAGAAGGGCACTAACTCTGCATTAGCAGCCTCCAATAAACCTGCCTCCCCAGTCTAGCCAGCAACTCTGCTTGGACACTGTTTTTTCCCTTTCAAGTTGTTGCTATGAAACACCAAAACAACTACCTCCATTTTTCAACGGCGAGGGAAAAGTGCTCTCATACAGCTTGATAAACCATGCTGAGTTCCTTTCATGAAGAAAGCAATGTAAGTACCAGGCACAACCATTAGTTAAGCTCATTTTCTCCATGTGTATGTGCTTTTATGTATGTCTAATATGTATATGTGAATCTTTACCTAACTCATCAAAATGTGGGTCTGTGTAATTTTCACCTTGCAACACGCAGATTGTTAAATTCTCTGCATCACACTGTAGTGATGAAAAAAGGCTCTCAGCCGTGCTCTCCTGTCTCTGTTGGTAGCCCTTGCTATCTATAATCTATTTTCACCTTTACTCCTCAAGAAAAATAGAGAGTTAATCTGTGAATAGTTACTAAGAACATTTAAGGATAAAATAAGTATGTAGCCTGGGGATAAGAAATGTTCGCTGTTCTTCACTGGGGCTCTCAAAGAGCTTAAAGAAAATACCTCCCACCAGCTGGTCTACAAAATGTGTGACTTGTACATCTGTAAACCTGAAAAGTCAACAATCATATATGATGTTAAGTTCTGCCAGTCAGAACCCGCAAGTCATATACAGAGACCTTTGCTCTGTCCTTGCTAAATTGAGGACTGGATTTTAGTTGTGACTGGCCAAAGGAAAAAAAATTGCCCTGCAGAGGAAAACTTTCCATTAGCATAAAGCCAAAAGCATCAGCCAGTGAACCAGCTGGACATGCCTTTAGTCCAGGGCACTTCAGGGGCAAGAAGGAGGGGACAGAGGGATGTCCCAGAATACATGCAGAAAGGCCCTAAAATAGACCAATCCCTGAGCTGGCCAACAAGTGGTGGAGGGCCTGGGCTGGAGATAAGTAGTTGTGAGATCTCTGTACCCACAGCATTGAGAAAGTGATGTCTGCTTTGAGAAAGTGATTGTTCTTCATCCCTGGGGAGACCTGAGGAGGAGCAGGGAGGAGATGAAGTCAAATCCTATGGGTCTTGCTACACCTCTAGGGCTGGGACTGTGTAGCCCTCCTGAAATACTTAATTCCTAGATATACACTGGGGAAATGCTGATGCCTCTTTTTTAGGATTTCTGAGGAGCTGAACTGGAGGCCAAAGCAAACCAGGGTGTGCAATCAATGGCTCCATTGAGTGCTGGGGCAGGCACAGAGCAGAGTTGCAGGGCATGGACACTAAAATGGGGGAGGACTGTCTGATCTGTGGATCCATAGGATAACAAAGTACTGGGAAGGGTGGGGGAAGGATGGAGAGGTTGCCACTGAAAGCGTGGAAATTGCACAGATTCGGATTTTCCACTCAGAAGTTCTTATAAGGTGTGAACTTTGGCAGAGCTTTGTGGCTCCCATGGTAACCTGTGGAGGAGGGAGCCAGGATGTCTGGGAAGAAAGATGGCAGTGGTATGTTTTAGAGTTGGGGTAGCTGTCCCCTAGTTCATGAACTGGGAATACGTGGCATGACACAGCACACAGGGAAACACCACAGACTCTGCCAAAATCACCTGTCCCAGGGGCACAGGAGACAAGGCTCTGCAAGGCTCTGCCCTGGGTGCAATGCTGCCTTCAACATCACTTTTTAACCCTATTCACAGAGGTCACCAGCAAAAACACCTCTGTTACCAGCCAACAGCTTCTGACAACTGCACACACACACACACACACAAATGTCAGCACCCCTCTTCTGGCTGCCTGGCCTGGGACAGATGGGCAGCAAAGCAGCAGGAAAAAAACAGAGGTAGGTGCTTTAGGATATCAAAAGTCAACTCCTTTCCTGCTCACATAATGGCTGTGAAACATCTGTCCACCAAATACTCATCTAAATATCCCACTCCCAGAACTCCACCTTTCTGCACATGATTGCGCAGAAGTCTTCCCTGATCCTCCGGACAAGAGTTCTGTCCCCAGATGAAGGGAAGGTAGAGAGATGTGTAAAAGAGGTAGGAACAAGGTTCTTCCAGGTCAGTGCGCCTGACTGCAAGGATGATAATAAAAGCAACAGGGATCTCTGTGGGAAGGGAGCTCAGCAGGATCATCCCTTCTGCAGACACAGGCTGCAGGCACCAGGCAGTCACATTTCTGCTATGAGAACTGAACAAACTCTTTTGAAATCTTGGTCTCAGAGAACTGCATTTTCTCTGCTTCTCCCCACAGTAAAACAGGGACAGAAGAAGATTCTATTTGACCTTGGGCAGGAAGAACAGGTTGGCCAGGACACCAGCACATATCCTGCACTAATGATCCATCACAGAACAACTGCTGGATGTGTTGTCCAGCATCTCAAGGAGGGGGTGCTACTCAGGAGAAGTGTGATACACCGCAAAGAAAGCTCAGGGTCCTCTTCTTCAGCAATTTCTGGAGTTTATGTCTTTATAAAGTACAGTCACACACAGCTTGTTTCTGAACAGCCAGGAGGGGTGTTGCTACAGTCAGTGTGAATGGGTAAGGTGTGGCCTCAAGGGACTGTGCCCAGGGAAAGTCATGGATACCCTTGCTTTCCCCAGCCCTGACATGATGGGACAGATCTGGAAACAGAAGCACCCTCTCCATGTGTGCTGAGGCTTGGAAAACATTTATGCTACTTGAAGAGCAATCCTTCAGGGCTCTCTTCCTGCTCTCCTAACAGTGGTGACACTGAGGGATTTCAGCCCTCCTTGTTGTCCTGCAGCTGGTTAAGTGGTGAGAGGAGTCTGTGGTGTGTACACAAGCTCAGGCTGGCCTGGGGAAGGACAGAGGGGCTTGCATTGCTGGGGCACATGCTTTGGTACATGCTTTGGTACCGTGTTCAGCCTGGGCTACAGCTCACCCCAGAGCTCATCCAGCCCAGTAAAAGCCAGGAAGAGCCCTGGGATGTCAGAAGGAGCTCTCAACTCTTCCTCTGGCTATGGCTTTTGTGAGTCAAGTTGTGTTTGCATAAACTGGACCTGGTTGCTAGCTGCAGGTTTTCCTGCCCATAACCACTATCCCTTTTAAGGCTTTAGTTGTGCCATAATAGTAATTATTATGGAGACTCCATCACTGCCCCACTGTGGACACATTCTGGATGGAGCAGCCAGTGTGTGATAACACTAGGGAATAAGATTATTTGGGCAATTTTTCTTCTTTTGACAGCACTTGAACTACAAGAGATTCCAGTAAGAGAAATTACTGGCAGAATGGACATGGAAAGAGTGATTTTTTTAAGCAAATATTGGAGAGCCTTTTTGGAGTGAGGGATTGAGAAAGAAATTTGACCTGTGTCCCATCAGAGCAAGCAATGCAGATTTGTCACCACAGAGGTCCTACAGTCTGACACCTGGGGAGGGAAGGAGTTCAACAACTCATTTCAAATAAAAACACACTTTGCAGAAGTGCTTTCTTCTCAAGTCATGAACAAGGGATAAGGCAAAAGACTTTAGTAACCCATTGGCTGACAGGTTTCTCCCCATTTCTATTGAGTGAAGGAAAGATACAGCCCACCGTGCCTTATCCAAACTGTGAGTATACCAGGCTGTTCTGCCCTTATTTGTAGCCTGACTCATCCCCCAAGAGCTTGTTGAGTGACTGGTGGAAAGTGGCCCCCTTGCAACTTCTATGGCAGATCCAGGGGTTACAGGAGCCTTTGGGTAAGCCCATGGCAGGGACTTTATGGAAGAATCTTTGATCTTCAAAGCCTGATGTCATCTTGAGACAGAAAGTCTTGCTTCACTTTGCCTTATTCACATCTTTCCTTTTCCCACACAGTGGAGATCAGAAGATATCCTCACCATCAGAGCTGCAAGACTTGCTTTAGGGTGATTTGTTAACATTGCTGTGGCAGGTTCAGATTTTCAAAGCCTATTGCTCTTCTTATACAGCTCAAATTCACCTGCCAGACCTTCCCTGGGGCAAACAACTGTCTCTTCAGAGCCTGGAGGCACAGGCTGGCACCTCACCCACTTACAGTAGGGAAGCACAACTGCCAGAGGAATGAGCGCTGGGAAAGGCGGGACTGTCTTGGAGGAAAAATAAAAGCAATGTTGGACATTTATGGCTTTTGGAAAAGAAATGTCAGAGCAACAAAAGAAAATCCAGATGTGCTGCATTCACATGGTAACAGGCTAATTGGAGACAGCCCCACCTGATTTCTAGCAGCTTAGCATTTATTGACTGGGGATTTTCTCATCATTGGCGCATCTTTAGGAGAAAATACTATTCTTGCTTGGCATTTGGTTTTCTTTCAGAAATACTGTTTTTATTACCATTTCTTCAGAAAGTTTTCCTAATAAGAAACCAGAAACCTTTAAGCACAGCTGGAGTTTTGCCATGGACTTCTGCATGGACACAATCTTGGCGTATCCCAAAGGATGAAAAACAGGGCTGAAGGCAATGGCAGCAGTGTTTCCCTCTGCAGGTGCCCTCCTACACTGCAGCAGCTGTGATTGCAGCAGTGCAGAATCGCTGTCACATTTACATCGGTGAATTTGTGTCTGTCACAAGAGGGCTGGAGGGGCACTGAACCTCAAAGTCAGGCATAGGATGCAGGGTTAATTCAAAACTCTCTTGGTAAAGGGCAGCAAATAAAGAGAAGCCACTCTGGGAGGGGAGCTCACTAAACAGGCAGATGCACCTTTCCCTGCTTGTGCGTCTCCAAGGAGAAATCTTTGGATTCCCAGTTTGTTTTAATGAGGCAGGTCCAGAGAGGTTTCTGTAAGTACCTAACAGCCAGTACATTTTGCAGTTGTCTGCCCCAGTGGGGATCCAGTCTCTTCCCATTTAAACTCAGACACCCACACCCGGCAAGTCAAGGGATGCTGAGCTATGACTGCTTCTTTGCTGGCAAAAAAAAAAAGCATTCCCACCTGTGTTCCTGCTGCCCTTTGGGCTTTTACACCAAGGAGAGCTTGGCCCCATGGAGACAGCAACCTTGCTGCTGAGCTGAGCCAGAGGAAGGCGCATGCATAACCCATGATCCCTCACATTGCCATAGCCTGCTTTTTCTCCCTAAGAATAAATCCAGCCCAGCTTCATGGCTGGCCCCTATGCAATGCTAAGGGAAGCTCATTTCCAGCAGGACAAACCCGAAGTGGCCTTCAGCATCCCCAGCACAAGCTGAGGAAATGGAATTAATTT